CCGCCGCGTCGGAGAAACCTGGCACTCCGAGTCGTCCCTGAAAGTGGGCAAAGGCGTCGCAGCAAAACACGGGCTCCTGAACGTCTCAGCCTCTGGCCGGTGTTTTAAGGAGTGCAGGGCAGGAGGTGCTGAATGCGAGTTCCTTTCCGGCCGCGCCGATTCCAGCGCGTTTCTCTGGAGTCTAGGGACGTCTTGCTAATCGAAAGCAATTCAAAGATTCTGTGAGCAACAACTTGACAAGAAGCAGCAGCAGGGACACCCTGTCTGAGGTGGAGCTCGTTTGGAGGGGTTTCAGTGCCAGTTAGAAGTACTGTCCAGCCAGGCAGTGCAGTGTGTGATCTAAGGCTCTAATTCTAAGGCGGAATTGGAGGCGGCTCTACTGCTCTAAAAATAGAACACCAACTCGCCCTCAGGCAACAAAATCTGCCCCTGGAGCAGCTGGGGTGAAGGGCCTTGCTCAGGGGCCCAAGGGAGTAGGATTCCTCTGCCGGCCGCAGGATACGAACCGGCAACCTCCCAGCCACAGGTGTGGATCCTGAGCCACAGTGCCAAGGCTCTGCCCTAGACCCGAACACAGATACTCAGACCACTGGGCCGCGCCGAAATGCAGAGCAAGGAGAAGGTGCAGAATGAGCTTTGCAGATTTCCAATAGGCAGCGCTCCCTCTGCATGCAGCCAGGCAGAAGACAGCAGACTGTAGGTTGTGGTTACAGTGAACCAGGATGTAAAATAATGAGTCCTGCAGTACAGAGATGCCACCTGTCTCTCTTGTCTCCTTGTCTTTTAGTCCGCAAGATGTACAGTAACAGCTGAGGAGGAGAAGGGGTGCTGGTATTTTGTATTTAACCTGCCTTATTTCATTATTTTAAATGAAATGGGTGTTTTGGACCTCCCTGTCTGGAATGGTCTCCTTCTCTCTCAGCCTGGTCTGGCCCATAGGTGCTCCATGCTGCCCTGCCCTCTCGCTGTGCGGTCAGCCTGGGGCAGAATCCACCCGTTAAGAGTAAGAAAACTGCACTGGGACGAGACGCACTTGAGTAACGGATAGAACTGAGAGATTCGAAAAAAAAACTGATTAAAGGTGCCATTGAAAGAGTCTTCAAAGTGTCACTTTGGTGCTTCTCAACCTTTAATTAAACCCTGGAAAACAGGGGAAATAAAATTAACAAATTGGTTAATGAATCGAGCAAAACAGGTGCTAAATGGCTGAAGAAAATTAACCAATCAGTCTTTCCTCTGTTGATTTATTTAGCACCTAATTAGAATCTGCCTTGGTTAATTATGATTGGGCTCGAGAGGGAAAAAAAAGTGCTAAAATAAAATACCACTTTAAAAAACCCAGAGACGTTGCCAAATTCATTAAAAAAAAACAGGTTTAAAAAACATTGCTGTGGAGTCCGGAGTCCTGGTCTTACATAATTAACCTCCAGCCTCCCTGTTTGTTAGCAGAGGTGAGAAATGCAACTTAAACGTCTTTCCAGTATTTCCTTTTTCGAAGTCTCCCTCGAAGTGTCTAGATCTAGGATCTGCAGGGGGTAATGAGAGCTTTTTATATCCTGCAATGCGTACCAGTTTTATACTGCCTTACAGGTCGAAACGCAAGACTCGTCAGACTTCTCCCGATCACCGTCGATCAGCCTTGTGCCGTTTTCAGCCTCGGTGCGCTTGCGGGGCTCGGAGATCAGCACCTGATGTTGAAAGCGACGTGCGTTGAGCTCTGTCTGTCGCGGAGCCGGGCATTTCAAATCTTGCGGCACATAAACAGCACAGCACGCGGCGTGGGAGCCTACTTTGAGTCGCGTGGATCCACATTAAATAATCTTAAATCGATCGAAGTTCGGATGTGAAAATGGATCGTACTACCTTCAATCTGTTTCACCAATTTTAAAGTAAGAATTATTTTTTTTCCATGGAAGTAAATCAATTCAATCATTTTTAAAAATGGTCTAAATAAAATTATTACCCCATTCACCAATGAGTGTGTGTGGGGGGGCGTGTGAGTTTGTGTTAACTGGAAACTGGAAAGGGGGCGTTGTTTTCAGAACTGTTGGTATAGATCACTCTCAGCAGTAGAGAAAACGGGAGTTTGTTTTTGTTAGAGTTTCTTTTTGTTGGACGGGGTCATCGGAATTCGACCATTACGAGCGCTGTGAGGTACTTCGTGAAATGCACGCTTCGCAGGCGTGAACCTCCCTCTCCCAACCCAGAGGAAACTGAAAGCCTGTTTTCTCCAGCTGTCCTCATGCTGCAAAACATCACGTCCAGGGCGTGCAAACCAGCCTTTCCGTCCGGGTATCCAAGACACGGCGCACTGCGAGCTTCCTCATCTCGCCCCTGCAGCGGGACCGAGTTCAGTCCGCGGGACCGTATCAACATTCAGAAGAATCCGCGCCTTCGGTCTCGCATCTTGTGCACCCCGGCAACAGCTTGTAACTGCCTTTTAATAGACAATTAAAACCGAGCGATAAATCAATGCTCGGCGCCAAGAAAAGGGATTGGAATTTAATTTAGCAAAAATATTTGTGCAGCTCCCACCAGCTCGCCTCGATTTAACCCGCTCAGGAGTTTGTCTGATCGTTATTTCATATTTCGCAAATGCCATATTGCAGAAAATAAAGTACTAGGGGGAAATCGATCAAAACTGTTTCCATATTGGGGGGGGATCATTTAATATCTTCCCTTTGTGTACAGACATACGTGGAGAGTGCACTGCATTGCGTGGGTAACAATGAAAAGTGAAAGCATTAACTGTTGTAGGTCTGCCATCTTTGTGTTTTGTTAGGAGGCCCTTTAAAATCAACTTCGAACACTGAAGTTATTGGTCTGATTCGCGTTGTCTGGGGGTTGATGGTAGGATAATGGTTTGCATTAGATGCAAATCAAGAATCTGAAATCTAATTTTTTTTAAAAGTGCTGATAGAGACAGCCAAATGGGTGCCTTTATGCCCTGCAGCAAAATAAGAACAGCAGGCCCTTCTTTACACAAAGGGTGGTGGGTGTCTGCAACAACGTTACCCTGCCACGTCGTCGAAGTCTGTTTCCCAGGAACATTAAAGAAACCACTTGAAAGAGATCCTTAACACAATTAGCTATTAGCAACCAATTAAGCAAGGTGAGATCTCATTTATAAAAGGCTGTTATGTTGTGGCTTGTCACACGTTGCCTTACACAATGCCCTTTTAACACCTTGCAGTCACAGCTAGGTTTTCTGCACCAGGTTAAAATCCCAGGTGCAACACTGTTGGGCACGTTACTGCACTTTGACCTGCTGTACAACTGTCTTTGTAATTTTTTTTCTCGATTGACTTATCTGGTTAAATACCCCAAAACAGGCCTGTGTGGAGTTTGTATGTCCTCCCTGGGTTTGTGTGAGTTTCCTCCAGGTGCTCCAGTTTCCTCCCATAGTACAGTACAGTACAGGCCCTGGTGTGAGAGTGTGTCTGTGTCTGTCTGTGTGTGCCCTGTGATGGACTGGCATCCTGTACCCTACCCTACCTTGCACCAGTTGTTTGCTAGGATAGGCTCCGGCTCCCCAAGACCCTAAAACGGATGAAACACTAGAAAGTGGATGGATAGATTATCCGTCTGCGGTGATGTAATCAGTGGAGCACTCCAGGGATCTGTACTAGACGGTGATATAGATTCTCTTATCTTTAGTAAACTAGTCAGGTTTGCAGATGATGCCAAATTAAGAGGACCGGCCAAGACGTAAGAAACAGCAAATGAAACTGAAAAATATTGAGATCAAATTCAGAGCTGGGGAAGAACCTGGCAGGTGAGGTTTAATGTAGAAATCTGCACAAATTTGTCTGCAGGTAGTAAGAGAATAAAATATAAATGCATACTGGGAGACAATGAGATAGAGGTGGCTGTTTACGCAAGACGTCTGATTGGGCGTTTCAGTCTGGGGACAAAAACAAGAATGTTAGTTCATGTGGTTAAAAGAGTAGAATCTAGATCAAGATGCATTGCTAAAATTGTATAATACACCAGTGAGACTTAATTTCATGTGAATTGTGTGCAATTTGAATCAGCACCTTACTGAAGAGATATCACTGCTCTGGAATCAGGTCAGAGGAGGATGGCAGGGGCACACGACCCAGATACTCCACGTCCTCAAAGGTTTGTCCAGCCAGCTGACGTCTTCAGAACGAGCTGTGAAATACAAACTGGAGGACACAAGGGGGAAACATGTGGTTTTAATTCAACAAACTGCTGGATGAGGTCTTCCAAACTGGAGGGATGGGAGCGTTTTCTGTACTCAAAGGGTGGTGGGAGTGTGGAGCAAGTTCCCCAGTCACGGTCTTGTAGGTGACACCCTGGCCTCTTTCAAGAAGTCACTGGATGAGATTCTCGCATCAGTCAGCTGCTAACTATCGAACTGACCAGAGGGGCCTCTTGTTCGCGACCTTTCTTAGGGTGTCTTGTCTGCTGTCTTGTCAACAGGGAGTAAGAGAAAGATGGGAACTGCGAAAAGAACATCTGATTCCTGGGTGTGCGGGATTGTGTCTTTCTTTGTGTGTCCACATTCCAGCGTGTGTGTGTGTGTGTGTGCACCAAACTGTGTTAGGAAAATAAAAAAAGAGAAAAAAATTGCCAGAGGTCCTGTTTAGATCTAGATCCTATTTATTTTTAAATTACTGGCCCTACAAACGGTGAGATTTCTCGTCTGTTGATAGCTTATCAAGATTGAATCCAAAATGTCACATTAATAGTGAAAGATTAAGCTCTGAACGCCCTTCATCCTCTTTGGACATCTCACACCTCTCGGATTCCAGAACAAGCGGGCTGCGGCGGCGCGGACGAGGCAGAAACCAGCCCCTGTCCGGGCGGCGCGCGCGAGTTCACGGGCCGCAGAGGGGCCTGTCTCTTTCGGACGGGGGGCGGGGGGGGCAGCCGTGTGAGCTCCGCCCCTGCGGTGGGGGGGGCGGGGAACTGGCAGCTACAGCAGCCCAAAGGCGCCGCGACCTTACACCCCCTGGGGTCTCAAATTCAATTTCGCCGAGATTCACATGGCAATCTGGGATTTGATTTGCAGCTCAGATACAGGAGAACGTCATCTGTACTGCTGTGTTAGATTTAGCTTGCTCTGCCTCTTTTATTTGAGCACATTTATCAATGGAAAATGTCTTGAGTGTATATATAGCATAATAGCATACAGTCCCCTGTGGTCTTTGATCTGGGTGTGAAATCTGCCAGGTTCCCTTCGGACTGGAATCTCGTCTGTGGTGTGAAGGGGTTCCCAGGGGGTGATGGGAACTGTAGTTTTTCCTCTTGACTTCCTGCAGCTATGACCTTAGAATATGATCAGTTCCATGTCACTTTGTCAGTTTTTGCCTGAGCTGGCCGGGAGGTGAGACACTTGCACTTACTGCCTGCCTCTACTTTATCTTCCTGCTGTGAGGAATCTTGGCCACCAAGATTTTCCTTTGAACTACAGGGGAGTCCCAGAGAGTCTGGCTGTGCCTGGCAGGATACAGGAACTGGATTTAGGAACTGTGGTGTAAAATCAGAAACCTAAGCCACAAAGTGCAAAATCCATGGTAGACATAGTACGGTTACTTAATTTGGGGGAATTTCTAGTGTATTGGTGTTTCTTCTTTCATAGAGGCTGGCTGGATCATAACACTCATTTGCTCTAGGTCTATTGGCGATATGACTTTCGGACCATCGTGGCTGAATTATTTTAGTGGATTATCCTAGACCAGGATTGGACAATCCTGATCCAGAGGAACCTTTGTGTTTCCACATTATTATTCCAACCCAGCCCTTCATAACATCAATCGGGTCTTTATTGGCCTAAAAGGACTCATTTGGCAGCTTCTCCCACCTCTGCTGGTACAGCTGCTTTGGAGAGACCTGGAAAACCTGGAGATAAAGCAGCCCTGCAGGATCAGGACTTGCCCCCTCCTGTCCCTTGAAGAGTAGGCGGCCATGTTTCTGGAAAACTAGCAGTCTTCCGTGCGGAGTACTGTTTACTTACAGAGAGTAGATGGGATAGTGGAATCCGATAATTCCTTGGCCGTCTGGTTTGATTACAAAGCCTTGTGTGTCTGTGTGCACTATAGTGCTATTTTCATAACCAGACACCATATAAACTGTTCTCGGCAACGGACCGAGGAAGGTCTTGCAGCTGACCAGCAGATGTACTGTATGAGCGCTAAAGCACAGACACCAGAATCAGCTCTCTAACCACAGGGGGATACCACTAAACCATCATTAGAGCTATGAACCTTCACTACGTGGGGTCTGTCGTATGGATTGTAGGGGACATAGGACGTCCGCACAGTTCCAAGAAGGTTTGAAACGAGTTTTAATTTAATACAAAAAAGACCGTTTTCAGGAGTGCAACAGCGTGTATTCTTTTGTACAGCTCTGAATTCAGTCGTTGTCAGGAAGGGTTTGTAGTGTGAACACAGGCCCTGCCCCTCTCTGTATGTTAGAACCTATACAAGGATTGTTCCACACATGGCACCTTGGCTCTTTGTACAAAGCTACCCCCCGCCTTTCAGTTATTCTCGAAATATCACATACAGCAGATGTCCGTCTCTCTGCGCAGAGTACATTTTGGGGGACAGACACAGCCGATCAGATCAAATCAGACACAGCAGATCGGAACAAATCCTGCAGAATGAAAGCGAATATACGAGAGCTCTCTCGTCGAGGCGGCATAATCTGTTCTGCATCACCCTTGTCATGCTGCAGTTAAGACTAGTCCCAGGCTCTCAGCGGCGAAAACGAAGGGTCTGGAATAGAGGCTAGGTCTCCTGCATCTCAAAGCAGCACACTCCCACGTGGCACCTGTGCCGAACTCCGCGGGAGCAGCTGCTGCCTCTTCAGCATGTGTAGCAGTCTTTTCATCTTCAGGTTCTTGAAGAGACAGTCCAGGATTTTCTCATCTGCCCTCTGTTCAGCCCCCCCTCGGACCCGAAACCCAATGGCGCCAGGGACAATCTGTAAAGGTTTTGAGAGAATGTTACTGTGAGAAAATGTAGGAACACTTTGTCCACTTCAGAAAACACTAATGTGCCACCTCTGTTCCTATCCAGCTCTCCCCATGAGTTACAAAGCGGTAGCTTCTTCAAATCGCACTCCGGATTAGTGATACTGTGGGTATGTCGTTAAGTAAGTTAAGGACGCGTTCAGGTGAATGTGAATTCATTTTTGGATACCGATACTGGAAATCCTAGTTTCAGTTTCCAGACTGGGGCACTTACAGTGTGGAGGTTGCATGTTCTTCCCAAATCTGGGTGGGATTTCACTGGGTGCTCCCGTTTCCTCCCACGTCCCGGAGGAATGCTGACAAGGGAAAACTGGTGTCTACAGTGGTTGTCCCAGTGCGTGTATCTGTGTGTGCACCCGGCGCTGGACGGTGTCCCGTCCAGAGCATCAGCCTGCCTTGCACCCTGTGTTTGCAGGACAGAGTCCAGAGTGCGTCAATCCAGGACAGATGGTTCTAAAAAAAAAAGAACTGCTGCCCGTTCTGTCTCACACATAGGCGCACATAATTTATGACTGTTTCTTAAGGCAAAGAGACCAGCCACTGTAGCTAAGTTACTAGAGACTGGCAGTGTCAGTTCCTGTGATACGTAATATCTGGGCTAAAGAAAAAAGTGCTCCTTTCCTTCGGTTGGCTGGGTAGGGTGGAGAATGCAAATAGGAGAAGAATGCTTTTGTCTTCTGCCCTTAATTTAGAGCTGTGTGCCTGACTAAGTAAAGGTAATTACAGCTTTTTGAAGATGCTTCCTGTCTCTCCTTGGCTGTAATCAGTGTCCAAACTGCCTGGAGTCAATACCCCCTGTCTGACACTTCAGCTTCCAGCAAAAGCGTGTTTGTGCAGCCTTTCCTCCTCGGATTCGCTGCCGGGCTGGATTCGGAAAGATGCTCAGGACTCTTGTCAGAGTGACAATTGGAGCAGGAGGGGCTGAGGGAAGCTCGCACTGTAATTAAGGATTGTTTGCCTTTCATTATTGACAGAGCACTAATCTGCAAGGCCTATTTAATGTGTTCCCTGATAGCCATCTTTCAGCGCTAATTGATTTCCGAGGGTTTAATACCTGCTGCTTCTCTGGTTAAAAGAAAATGCAAAAAAGGCAGTTAAACAGGGACAGGGTTTTTTTTAGACAGAAACATGCCGTGAATCTTTTAGGACTGCAGTGCTGTTTTAAACTTCCAGAAATAATGCCAAAAAAGTCAGTGAAGATCATCCGGACCAGAGTGGAGGGAGTGGGTCCTGTGATCATTGTGCTCATGTGCCTATCGTAGGGATGAATTGTTCCTGGGACCCGTGGGTTTTAGGAGATTAGAGGGGTGAAGCCAGGTTAGGCATCATCGTCCTGCTGTCCCAGTTTTAGGTCTGAAGCAGGTTTTCCTTTGTTGCAATATGATGATTCTATTTCTGCAATAAAGTGTGAAAACGTGCAAGGGCCTGAGTACTTCCACGTAGATAAAGTCTTTGTAGAAGCCTCACTAAGTGTCAGTGTATAAGATCCTCTCTTTGCCTGCACACACACACACAGAGCCTGTTTTAAACAGGAAGGCAGCAAAGATCTGAGTCGGTCCCTCTTATCTCCCAGCACAAACTCCAGAGAGTTCTCATTCCGTCGTGAGAGAAGGTCAGAGCCAATCTGCGCTCTCCCTGCGGAACAACAGAGACATGGAATTGCTGTGACTTGCTGGGTCTGTGACTTGAGCCCTCTGACACCCTGCTCTCTGCCTCTCTCAGTATCTTTCTCCCAAATCCTCATGACCTCCATGACACACCCTGGAGCTGCCACAGGTGAGCTCATCACTAGGGCCAAGATTCAAGGCCAGAAACGTTCAGCTCTTTGTAGGCTGCCAGTGTAGGACATTGCTTCCATTGCTGTGGGTTCAGAACGTACCTGTGGCCACATTTCCCTGGGCTAATTCCACATGTGCAGCTCCAAGTAATGTTGGCATTAATTATTTTTTCTCTTGCCTGTGATCATTCTCGGTTGGGCTAGCAGCTTGGCAGGCCGCACAGATTGGAGCATCAGTGTTGGATTGCTTCTGTCTGGCCCTGCACTTTTAGACAAAGGCTGAAGATTTCTGTTGGAAGCTCCCTGCAGCGCCAGTGCCACAGGCAGCAGTCAGGGTTGTTACGAAACCGACTTACTGGTGTGAAAGACTGTCATATTGCCATTTATATTTGACTGGAAGATGACAGTTAATAGCCGCAGAGCGGAGTCTGTGATGCTTTGTTCTTTCAGCTGTAAAGATTTCTTCATTCTTAAGGTTTGCTTGCCCTGTGTTCACACATTGATGCTGGTACTGACGAGCAAATGAATTTGGAGCGAAATCACTGGGGGATTGTGCTCTGCTTGACAAGTATTGTCTGATTTTTTTGAGGTGTGCATCTGCGTTTTGG